GGTCGGGTTGTTAATTCTATCAAGTACTTAATCTTAGTTATTATCAAATGATAATACACATACATTTTTATGCCTATTTCATTCTAATTTTCATGTATCAAAGCGATGATGAGCTGAAGTATGACACGATAGATTAGATGTAACTTTTTGCAAAAAGGATAATATGGACAATTCACAGGCAGCATATATCCGCAATGAATGGGTCAAAATAAAAAGAATATCCAGAAGGGTACTGTGGGAATGTAATTAATTACTACGCAATGTCCTTTTTTTGGAGCGTATCTACACATCTTCAACTCTCCCTTTGACCGTCCCTCTCTCTCTCATCTGTCTCTGGCTTTTTTCGCCGCTGTTGCAGGGCGAGCTTTCTTTTTCTCTCCTCACTTTTCATCTGCCACTGCCAACGCCTTCATATATTTATAGAGACAGAGAGAGAGACCCTTCAGAAATCTCATAGTCTTGCAGTACTTTTTATCTCCTCCTCCTTCGTCTTCCAAATCTCGATAACTTTAGCATCATTAAAACCCCACTCACGCACACTGTTCTCTTTATAGTCTCTGCAATCCAACGACCGCGATTCCTTGTCCTCTAATCGTACGGCCAGGTCTTGCTGTGTCAACCTTTCTTCTACGTATGTTACCCTGTCCGAAGCACTTGTAGTTTTTTTTTTGCCAACTTTCTTCTAATCATTTCAATATAATATCACCTACCCATCTCCATATATATATATATAAGCATACATACATGCATATCTATCTATCTTGCTATTTTTGTGTTTGTCTAGAAGAAGTCGCGATTTCCATTTGAAATCTGTTATTCACATGAACTGTACGTTATTTGGTGTATTTTGAATTCTGGGTATTCTTATATTTGTAAATTAAGCAGCATTTAATGGTAGAGGCGTTACGTTTTGTGTTTGTGTGATAGTTTAGGGTGTTTCTTAGGTAGTTTAGTTGTTGTTTGGTTGATTGGTGATCACATGCAGTGGATAGCTTTCGGATATCATGAAGGGTTTATTTGAATTTAGTGGCGTATGCGAGTTTTAATCCCGTTGTCATTTTTGTGAATGTTTTTGTTATCTTCAATTACTTATATTTTATTGATATGTGCATACTTAATTTTTATTTAGCTCTGCCGTGTTTAATTTTTTTGGTAATGTTTATGGTCAAAGGGTAATAGGTTGTCTTTGTGTGAGTATATTGAATTATCATGATATCATATTCTTTTAAATTTAACTTGCATGAATTTTTTTTGAATTTGGGATGTCAAAGTAGATTTCTCTAAAAAAGTTTGATGGGTTTCTAGTTCTTTGTCTATCGATGTTATATATTCAAAATTACTCTGGAAAAGGTTGGCTCTGAGGTTTTATTTGCCTTGAAGTTTTGTGAAGTCATTGGATAAAGCTATGCATAGTTGAGGAAAATTTTGATTTGAGAACTTAGTTTTTTGGGTATTGATTTTGCTTTCAATCTGGGTTGGGAGATGCTGCTTTTCCCATTTGAATGACCTTGTTTTGAATTCTAAGCCAAGGAGAGCACTAGGTACCAAAGTGTTATCGTACAAAAATTTGTTGTGGACCATTGATCTTGTATTTATTTATTTGTGACCATTAATCTTGAAAATACTTAAGGGAATAAATAATAAAAAAATTTATGAGGCATATTCTGGTTGGTAGAAAAATAGGAGCTTGGACCCCTAAACCAATGACAGTAAAGCTTTGCAAGATGTGTGAGTTACAATGAATTAAAGTGGGATTTATATGTTTCTTTTGCTACATCATAAGCACACTTTTTTAATATCTGGAGTGGCTGTGGATTTTCATGGAGATTATATGAACTTCTCTTCCATTTGCTTTGAGAATTGTTTTATGGCTGAGTTACAGGTTGCGGGTTTTAGTTATAAGAGAACTGTTCCTGCTAGTTTCTGCAATCTTCAAACTTGTATAATTCAGAAATCACATGTCTGTTCATAGGGATAAGGGAGACAGTATTTTCCCTTCAATGTGACATTGTTTGACTCACTTTTTGAACTGTGGTTGGTTGGCTATATACCAATAGATCAAGATGTTAATCTGTATGCATTTAAGGTGTCTAGGCAATCTCACACTTATGTAGGGAATAATGGTTTCTGGTACTCTGCCTCTTCATCTCGACGTTTTGTCTGTGTCTGTCATGTTAATGAGGCCATTGCTGACCACTTATATTTTATCTTGGTTCTTAATGGTATTGTTCTTTCATTATTGTTTGGTATGGAATATGTCGTACACTCAACTTATGTATAGTTTGAATTGTAAATATATGATTGTTTACATCTTTTTCTTAGAACTGCTTGTTTGAAATTTTCCCCTATTTCCGCAATTTTTTTGTCTCATATTATATCTCTTAATTTGCAGTGAGCGAGTTAAATCTTTTCAAAACTAGGTTTATGGAGTCTAATGGTCATAGGAGATCTAGGAGGAACGATTCTGGTGCTCGGGAAAATGGTGATGGGAGCACATCTACTGTTGATGATGGATTGGATCCATGGACTGCATGGGCATACAGACCTCATACCATTACAATGTTATTTATTGGTGCATGCTTTCTTATGTAAGTTTCTTGTTCTTTAAGCAAATTTGTTCTAGTGACAAATTAGATGTTTTGATCACTTGTGCAATTTTTTAGATGGGTTTATTTCTCTGTTCATAAAATTGTGAACCATTAGAATTTTCTATTTTCCTTTCTTTTAAATTCTACTTGTTTTTGTAAATTTCAAGTGGTATACCATGCATTGTTAACTTTGTTGTCAGTATTACCTTACAGAAAAAAATAGAAAATGAAAAATCTGTTTGAGTATGAGTTTAGGAATGTATTCAAATTGCCAAATTATAAACTCCCCATGAATTGTACTTGGTCATATGTATACACTAGTCCAAGATACTGTGTGCATACTCTTAACATCTGGTAAGGTGGGCCGTCAACAACCACTATTGTCTTATGCCTATTTAAGACACCTGTGGCCGGTTTTCCATTCAGCCTTTAGAAGCCCTATATTTAGGTAATGCAACTGATTGTAAACTTTGTGGCCTTATTTATGTGTTAAATTTGTGCAATTGCAAATGAGTAAGTTGTGTATTCTACATTCACTTTAATTGTTCATTTTTTTTTTTATGTAAAAGAAAAGAAACAAATATAAAAGCTATGACAAAGGTGGACAAGAAGTCCAAACCAAAGACAAAAACAAGCAAAAAAACCTAACCAGAAAACATCAAATCCAAAAACAGCTAACTATCCACACGAAACTGTCCAGCTCCATATAATACAAAAAAGAGGGACATCCTAAAACTCTTTCATCATGAACATCCAAAAAGAAGCTAAAAAATAAATCTGCTCCCCAAAAATTTCAATCTCCTCGCTCTTATCCTAAAAAATTCTTCTATTCATATGGCTGCTGTTCCGAGTTACTGTAAAGATACCATCTTTGCAGTGATGGTGTCATGTGAATTGTAAGGGGCCTGCAAATTCCTAACTTGTTTCACTATTTGTGAGTTACTGTAAAGATACCATCTTAGCAGTGATGGTGTCATGTGAATTGGAAGGGGCCTGCAAATTCCTAACTTGTTTCACTATTTGTGTATACATAAGCTGCTTGTTCAGCTAGAATATTTTCTGTGGTAACTTATATCTGTTGTTTGGTCCCCTATTATCTTTAGTATGAATGTTTATTCATTAATCATGTTTTTCCAAATTTATGTACTTTGCCTTCTCAATACCTGCACCAGATGGTGCCACGATACATCCGTCTTGCAATGTATAACTATGTTGACTCATATTACCTCTATGATGCCATCATGGCTTCTATTTGCTTTTGCTGTTGTGCTGTTGTTACCTGTGCAATAATGACATGCCCCATTTTTAGCGAATGTTGTGATAAACCTATATGTTCATCATGGGGATGGTGTGATTTCCACTAGAAACAAAAATTTGTTACATGAGGTTATCAGGACATTGCAATTGTAGCACTAATTTCATTTCGTTCATCTGACATGTTGCATCGCAGTTTTTTGAAAAGACTGTTGTATTCATTTTCTTTGATTTTGATTAACTGAGAACAGATGGGCTAGTGGAGCTCTTGATCCTGAAAGCAGTTCAACTGCTGATCTTGTTACATCTGTCAAAAGGTGTGTGATTTGTTCGTCTATGTGGTGGTGTGTTTTTTGCGATCACCCCGAGAATATAAATTTATATTCTCCTAAGAAATTTAAATTGCCTTCTGTGTATTGTGTTTGGTAGAGGCATATGGGCAATGATCGCGGTATTTCTTGCTTACTGCTTGCTACAAGCTCCTTCGACGTAAGTTACCATTTTACAGATATGGTTTGTTATAACTTGGTTCATATTTCACATTGCATTAAATTTTTGGATTTTTAATGATATCCTAAGCTTTATGCTATTATGTTAGGCTTAGAAATGTGTTCTCCATTCTTTTATGATCATGAGTGAAAGAAATTGGAATAAAAGCTTGTTGAGTTGTAGTGTATACTGGGATGAAGAAATTGATGGTAGAAGCATTGCGTTCTTTATGAGAATTCTAGTAATCACCAATAAATAGAGAGTCTCCCATCAATTGTTAATCCTTCCAGGATTCTGCTTTTTCTTGTAAAGTAAGAATTCTGGTGTTGGCGATATCTTTTTTGACCAGAGAAAAATTAGGAATCAATAGCTAAAGAAGAACAGAGTCACCATCAGCAAAAAAAAAAAAAAGGTTCCTCTAAAGCACTTGGTGGCATAATAACCCCACCTAAAAGGAGTGCTCCTTTGGGAAGAGGCAGCCACCAAATATTCTGCAGCGTTTCCTGCTCCAGGGTTATATGAAAATCCGATATTGCAAATAGAAGCACATTATCTGATAATCTGTCCCTGAGAAAATTCTTGCTGTGGCATTTAATTGGATCACCTCTGGACTGACTCTCAACTGGATCCTGCAAGTTCCGCCTCCCAACATCTCAACATGTGTGTTACGAATTATCACTTCAATGGCTGCTTGATTGACGAAGTGGATGTCAGAATGTTTATGATAGTAGAGATTTGTCCTATCAAAAACACAATAGTAGAGATTCTCCTTAGTTGCCTCCCGCTGCTTTTGCCCCTCTCTGTGAGTGCAGTGTGGTACCTAGACTTCATGTTGTCAGTGCCTTTTGTGTTGAAATTCCAAATTCTTGTAGCTGCTCTGTCTCCAATGGTGTAATTTGATGAACCCTCAACCATCCATTTCCCGGTCATGTGAGTGATCACATCACTTGCCCTTTCTATTACACAGTTATCTCATATCTGTTTCACTGGGGGATAGTGTAACACTTGGTACATTTCTTCCTTCCAGCAAATTAGACCTAGTCTAGGAGGATCTTGAACCTTTCTTAGCATCTATGAAGTATTGATTTGGGTTGATTGGTGGGTGAGATTGTTGGTTTTGTATATATAGCACTTGTGAAGGCTTTCAAAAAGGTGTCATGGTCATAGGAAGGTTTGTAGGATTTTTGTGAAAGCATATCGTAGTTTTGCAGGGTAAATGGCAAGGTTTGTGATATGGCTGAGTGATTGGTCGAGTTGGACTAGGATAGGGGGCAGACAGGTGGTATATTGTTTGGATAAAATTGGTCGAGATGAGTCGGAGGGGGTTTGCTGGTAAGTGCTTGAACTGTATTTGACTGTAGAAGAAATGCAGTTAGTTTTGATGTACTAGTTATTATTTGGTTATGTTGGTGATGGAGTAATTGCTTGTTGGTCTTGAAGATTGCTGATATCTGTATTAGTTGAAGTGAATGATATTTCAAAGAGATGGTAAAATTACCGGACAAGGATAATAGAAAAAAAAAAAAGAGGGAAGCTGAGACCTAGCTTGGGGGAAACTTTAGAGAGGGAAATACATTTTCATTCTAAAGAGAGGGAGAGAGAAGAAAATTCTCCGTGCTCAATCTAAAAATATGGAAAATTAGTGTATGACCTATGAGGGGCTGTCCAGAGCATCTATCCTAATGCTACTTACAGCTATAGTAGTAGGTAAGTCCTACCTCCCTGCTTGTGCGAGAGGACAATTTCTGGAAACAGTGGCTGTCATAAGTCAGTTTGCTTCCGGACTCCTTGAAATTACTTCTTCTTTCATTCCTTTTATCTAGAGAAGAGTAAAGGGCAATCTCCATGATAATCTATCCATATACTTTACTAAACTTTCCGTTGCAGCTTTGAACAGGATTTTAGTTGGTAGAAATTTACTTATTTTTTCTTAATTTTTGTTGCGCCTTAATCCAGACCAACCTCATGACAACCTCCTGCTGGCAAGCTTTTCCCTATAAAAGATTCAAAGCCGATGGAGCAATTAGGCTTGACCTAATCGATTCTATAATGGTTGCATTAGTTGCAACCAGAACATATTTGTGAAGGAATGGTTCATAAACAAAGATTTTCTAGTAGTATAATTGGATGATATTGTTATCAACCTGCTTTAACACTTGTAAGCGCATCTGGTGTCACAGCATACTTATTAGGCCGCATCCTGCAATTTGGCGTCTAGTGCATGGAATGGCTGTTATTTATCTTGTCGCTCTGACATTCTTGCTTTTCCAGGTCAGTTCTTTCGTTCAGCTGGCATTGCTTTTGTGATCTTTGCTCATTTAAAACTCCAATCATGAAATCATTTACAGATGATTATTTCTTTTCTTCCATATAGGATAGATTGGGCATGTGTATTCAGATGCCATTGTTAAGTTGTAATAAATGGATCTTCAATTAATTTCTATAGGGTTCTTAGTATCTCACCTGCATTTGTTTGGGCAGAGAACTATGTCAATAATTACAAAGTATTTGTGCTGTATATTAAGTTGCTAACAAATTTTCATTTCTGTTTTCTTTCTTGGTATCTTATTTGTTCTTTCTTTAATCCTTTTCTTTGTGATTCTTTGCGAATTTTTAGCATCATCATTTAGACTCCGACGAATTGCTATTAATATTATATTTTTTCCTTTTTTACTGTTTCAGAAGCGTGATGATGCTCGACAGTTCATGAAATATCTTCATCGTGATCTTGGTGTTGGTAACGAACTGGGGTTTGCTACGCTGTCTGTTTCTTTTAGTGATTGACATTGATTAGTCCAGTTTGGTGTTGGCATTGTATTTAATTTTTGTGAAGCTGCTCATCCTAATTTGTCATCCTCATTTGTCTAGGTGAATTTGGTCATGGAGTGCATATTTGAGATCATAATTTGATTATTATTATATTTTTAATGTTTAATACAGAACTTCCAGAAAGATCTTATGGTGCTGATTGCCGAATTTATGTGCCTGAAAATCCCACATGCAGGTTTAAGAATGTTTATGTATGATTTCTTCCTTCATGATCCTTCAACCTTATAATTTTTGTTTTGTCTGCACCTTCTTTTTTTTTTTGTGGTGTAGCAAATGCTTTGTCAGGCTTTGACAGGCCTCTGATTAGTTTCATTTCTTACTAGGAAACACTTTTTGATGAATTTGTTCCAGCTCATATCTTTGGTTGGTGGGGAAAGGCCATAATGATTCGTAATCAGCCACTTTTGTGGGTACTGTCAATTGGGTTTGAGTTAATGGAGGTCAGTATCTTGACCAACTTTATATGTATACTTCATGGTTCGGATTTTTATGTGATGTAGATATTCATCTTGTTTTGTCCTTTAAAGCGTGTTCTCAAGTCGGCTATTTGTGGTTTTGTGCGCGATTGATTCTTATATTGGCCTTTTCAGCTTACCTTCAGGCACATGTTACCTAACTTTAATGAGTGCTGGTGGGACAGCATTATTCTTGATATATTGATCTGCAATTGGTTTGGTGAGAACCCTGAAGCCACTATCTTGTTTTGTCCCTATTTGACTGTAGTATATTAGCATGCTCAATGTATTATATTGCTTCATAATGTCAGAGTTTCATCTTAAATTACTTTTGCCATTTTTATCAATTTTTTTCCTTAATATTGAGTGGAATTTCTCCTGGCAATAACACAGTTGTAACCTGTTTGAAGAATGACATAAGTATATCCTGGATAAGAGGAAGAAAAATTGTAAATTATATAAGCTATATGCCAATATGCTCATCCAAATGATGTTAATCTTTATTTTCACTTCCTGACTATAGGCAGTATGTTTTGTATCCAGGTCTGTGAGGTAGTGAACTTTTTTGGAAATCTTTTAATATTCCTGTAGCGCTAGTAGCTTTCTTATGAATAGATCTAGTTACTAGAGATAAATCTGCTTTTGGACATTTTGTATGAAACTATATTTTACTCTAGAAATAATGATATCAAATAAGATGTTATTTGGTACTTTTACCATGTTCGAACCCTATATAAAGTGAGGTTTGAGAAGTTTGTTTGTTTTTTCTAGGAAAATAAATTTTCTTGAAGTTGGTGCAGTTGTTTCCCAAAAACTGGTTAAGAATATTTCCAAATGCTAATTCTATGTTGACATATGTATTTCTCTGGGGACTTGGGTGTCTACGTTTTGAAAAATTTTGCAAACAGGAAAACTTGGTAAAATATCTTTTGCTATGGGAATATATGCTATCTTCGGATTTACAATTTCTCCAGGGGAATCAGGATTTTTTCAACCAATTTACCATGTTTTCTGAAATTTGAGTGCTATTATTGGCAAAATTTGAGATACCATACTGCCTTCAATTTTCAAACTATTTTAATGATTTTGCCCTTTTTTTTTTGCTTCCTGTTGTTCTAAAACTACCTAGTGTTTTTGAGCTTTTGAACATAAAGGGCATCTTGATGTATTTATTAAAAATTGATTAGAATAAAGAGCTCGGGAACAATGAATCCATTTTAAATGTATAATTTGATGTGAATCATTGGCAGCCTTTCATTTCTGCTTTGATCTATGTGCTTATTTCACCAGGGCCTCTCCTATGTTGAAATACATCAGTATGGCAGTTCCTTAAAGTTTTTAAATCCCGAATCTTGCATTTACCTTTTTTTGTTGGCTCAATGAAATCTCTAGAAATAATAGAAACTCTGTAATTTTGACGTCTGGTGATAAAATGTAATAGGGAAATTTGCAATTTTAATTTTGCCGAATTTGACTTCTTACAAAGTACATTGTGTTACGTCACTGTGGGGTAGTTTATCTTTCAGCTATTTTCCTGTTTACTTCGGTAATAATGGGTAATTGGATTATTCAGAAGTTCTGTTTGGTTCACTCTGCAGGTATATGGGCTGGAATGCATACTGTCCGGTACTTTGATGGTAGGACATACGAGTGGGTTGGTATAAGCCGTCAGCCGAATATTATAGGCAAAGTATGTTTAATGACAGTTGGTTTCATTTTTGTTTTGTACTGAGATAGTATAGTGCTAGCCAAATGGGTAGGTATCACATGCAATTTTATGAAGGAGATGCTCATGTCAAATATCGAAATTTTTGCATGTATGCTAGTGTATATATGCCTGCGTTGTGTGCACGAGTGTTGTTTTTTTTTTTTTTTTTTGGGGGGGGGGGGGACCTCATCCTTTCATGGTTTTGCTCAAACTTATGAACTTCTGCACTTGACTCCTTAAAATTATTCTAAGGTATTTTGTTGTCCCCTTGCAATTCTGCATGAATGATCATGTAGTTGTGTTTTTCATAGTCTGCTAATCAGCTCCTGACTAAGGTTTCATACTTGGAATGAACTACAGATGAACAGTACTGGGATTTTAGACCAATGACTTGAACATTGTCCGTCTTCTTTTCTCTTCTCTTTGCATTGGGTAATTCTAATTCTTAACAATGTTGGCAGTCTTTCTTTCTTTTTTCTTAGCTGTGGGTAGTTTTTAATGATATAATAGTCTAATAGATGGAAAAGGAACATGGAAGCAAAGCTTACTTTATGGGATTTTTGAATCATCTTAATGCTTGTGAAGTATTTTCTTGCTATCCTTTTTTGTTGATCACTGATTAATTTATCTAGCGTTGTTCAGTCGCTAGAGTTGCAAGTGACTCCTGGTTATTGAATTTTGTGAGCAAAGTTTTCCTTGATTAGAGCATTCTGAATATTTTCATTTTTCTCATGCCAAGCTCTTATTCTAATTTTCTCTTTTCATGAAACATTGCACTATCTTGCTTCCTCTGTTTGTGCTGTCTTGGTTGTTCACAGATGTTTGTCTCTGGATCTTGTCTCACATTGCATGGGAGGCAATTTATAGCTTGAAGGTGCCTGCGGATGAAGGCATTAGACCTTAATTTTATATCTTACTGGTTTTTTAAGATGCACAAACTTCATTTGCAATTGTACATGAAAAAACAGGGATTGAGTTGATTGACTAATATTACAAATATTTGCTATCCCTCATCGGAACCTTGACCATTTTAGGATTATACTTTCGGTGGAAGATATGATTGATGTTTTAACGTTTTGCATATTTTTGGATTTGGAACCTGTGCATATTTCTTTAAATTGAAGTTAGTCTGACCTAAAATAATTGATGTTTTATTAGATTCAACTTGACAGACTGCTGATAGTAATTTTTACAATACAACAGTTAAGAGTTACAGCTTTCTAATTACTTTGCAGGTCAAACGAACACTGGGTCAGTTTACACCGGCACAGTGGGACAAAGATGAGTGGCACCCCCTTCTTGGTCCATGGCGTTTCATTCAAGTTCTCTATCTTTGCATTGCATTCCTGACTGTGGAGCTGAACACATTCTTTCTTAAGTTTTGTCTTTGGATTCCTCCTCGAAACCCCCTGGTTGCGTATAGGTTGGTTTTATGGTGGCTAATTGCAATACCAACCATTCGCGAGTACAATTCTTACCTACAGGACAGGTACTCTCTCTCCTCACAAACACACGCCCGAGCATGCATGCGTGTGCAAATAAGATGAGGTTCTTTAGAATTTTAGAAGCATGACCTATGATTAGCTTCTCTTTTTCTTACATGTTATTTATTACTGCAATGACTTTCAGAAAACCGGTGAAAAAAGTAGGAGCATTTTGTTGGCTATCCCTCGCCATTTGCATTGTCGAGCTCTTGCTTTGTATCAAGTTTGGACATGGTGTGTTTTCTGTCTTATCATACATCTAAGAGCACCCTAAAAGTTCTTGTGATATTTATCTAATTGGCTGTGGCACTGCCAATTAGACTTGACAATCTTTAAACTGCTATGTACATAAATGACCATGGCTATTGTCTCTTTCCAGGGTTATTCCCCAATCCGATGCCTACGTGGTTGGTAATTTTCTGGACGTCAGTCGGGATTGGCCTTGTGATTTTCTTGGCTGTGTGGTCATGGCAATTGCATCGAACTTTGGGCAAAAAGCAGCAGTGATTTTATCTTTGTGGTTTCATCATTCTGTTATTCTTGTAAATACTCATCAACTTGATAATTTGTAAATACCTATTATCTTAGGTTAGGTGATTACAGTTCTTACATAGAGATTATTTATTCTTCTGGTTAGGTAGTGGGAAAGGTCGATCCATGTCCTGAGTTGGCAATTTTCGATTGAGCTTTCACTATTGAAAAGATTCGTTTTTCAAATTGTACTGCATTGTTTTTGGAGAATCATAGAACTTCTTCCTTTCTTTAGAGAAAGGGGATATTGTTGGCAAATTGATAATTATGATATTATAAGTCCAATATCTTAAGCTCCTTCAACTTTTATTCTGTCCTTTTAAATACCTTGTACTACAGAACTTATGCCTCTAGTACTTCTCTCACAATGGATTGATTTTGTGCATATTTTCTTTGTGGTTTTGGGAAGGCAACAAAGCAGTTTGGAGTGGGCTTCACTTTGTAGTATGGTTGGACATTCAGGCAATTATGAGGGGAATACAACGATGAGGTAAAAGCATTAGGGCTAGATTGGATTATTGACAATTGTTACAGCAGAAAATTAAATATCAAAATCTTTGTCTTCATTCTTACCTGCTCTGATATTCTCTTGATTTGTTCGGCTCTTGGATTAGTCTTTATGCATTTACAGAATTGCATGCAAATTACGGGTATAAGGCGGCCCTCCTTAGAATTGTCTTCCTTATTATTATTGTTTTGAATTACTTCACTCTGCCGCAAGACCTGTTCTACTGTAGAGCTAGGTTGATCTTATGTTGGAAGCTTTATTGTATCTATGGCCCATTTTTTACACATGATGTATTTGGCTGTATGCATAAAAGGTCTTTTTGAATATCTATTGTTGTAGGTACTGGCAAAGGGTTAATTGTAAGGTCTTTCATACATGACTTTAGAGTAAGGACAACTTGAAAATAAGTTGACAAAATTAGTAGTGGAAATAGAGTTGTGATAGAGTTTTTTGAGATATCTTCCTCTGTTTTTGTTGTTGATGTGGATGATGGCGAAAGAATCGAACTACTTCCTTTGGATGTTATACTAGCACTTGAATTCTGCTATTTTTTGGTACCTCAGTTCATCCATGATGGGATTTGACTCCTGCATCTGAGTAAGGAACTTTCTAGTTACCCACCAGGACGAGACATCAGTTAAATTTTGAGCAGTTTCAGCACATAAATATGTAAATTTTGTTGGTGAATTCTTGGGGTTTTGTGAAGAGGATGACTGGCTCATTTCTTGAAGGGCAATGGTTGGTTCGGTGTTAAAATATGACATTATCTGTTAACACGACACGAAATCAGAAGGTTTTAGTCTTTCTTAAGCCACCCTTTTCGTAAACGAGTGGACTCGATATAACACGATTAATAAATGAATCAGGTATAAGTGAAATTAATCAAAAGAAATATACGACATTACTCATTTAATAAACGGTTCATATACGATACGAATTTGATATGATATGATTTGTTAGATACGAATTAATAAACAAATTGAGTTTTGGTGAAGTATTTTTTGACACGAACCCGTTTCACCCAACATGATTAGCATATCTATTTGGTTCAAATCCAGTTACTGAGATTACAGTTATCTTTAGCTCATGTTCTTCAACTTGTGAATAGAGTTTTGTCTCATGCATAAGGTCATCCTTATGGCAAGGGCTTAGGTCTTAATAGTCCCTAAACATTCTCAGTTAAGTAGGGTTGTTGTGGGATCTCAATTTTTTTTATTGGACTTAATGGATCTCAAGTTGTGGAATAAGTTGGTGAAATCTTATTGTGTCAAAATTTGTCTAATCTATTACCTAGTCATTTCAAATCGTAATCAAAGCTCATTGTGTGTATAAGTAGGTTTTAGCCATGTTTGTGTCAACTTATTGTTTTTGTCTGTCATATTTGATTCAAGAAAGTAAAACTCAAAACAAAGAAGATAATTTATAAATTGGAATTGGTGGCTCGTGAGTAATTTGCTAATCGAATGATGGGGCAACCAATATAGTCTAATAGAGTTATCCTAGATACAACTTTTGAACTTGTTCATTGAAATACATATCGGGTTAGCAAATATGGGATTTTTGGGTCCTACAAATATGAACACTACTTTAGGGACCCCAACATTTTTGAGACCGATCCCAGTATTTTTCAGTTATGACTTGATTTTATTAAATAGTTATTCAACTCAAATGAGTAATAACTAATTCTTATTCACTTGTAACTTTCGATATGGTAATGGCACCTAGGACAATCAGTCATCTGTTCATAGAATGCCTTCTTTATACATACAATTGTTGGGAACTCCAAATAGGTTTCAATATTCTGTCCTAAACCTTTTACCTACTACTGTCCATCTCTGTCTGTTTCATTCTTTCTCTTTTTCATCGCATTCCTTTCATAATTGATCGTTATAATCAATAATACTAATGTCTCTTTCTGTTGGGAGAATCTAAGAATCTGATGCACATTACAATTCAATTCAAGTATTTTAACCTAGGTACCAGTGTGGAGAGGCTTCTAGTGTTTGTCATAAATAGAAAAGGTAATACCTTGGCAAGGCATGATCCACGAAAGTGATATGAAATTTGTGGGTTAAGGTTGAATCTTAGTGAATTCGGGTGGTGGATCAGTTAGACTTGTCAATAAATGGGTCGATACGAAATTGGCTAAAGATGACTTATACACAATTTATACACGTGATTCATGAGCTTGGTAATCGTGTTCTGATCAATGAACCGGAACCTGAAATAGTTCCTGAGCTACTTCTAGGACCTGCTCTAGTGCTTTGGGCTGTTGTTTACAGTGGTGTCATCAACTTGTATACAAATGTACTACTATTGGGTTACGTGGAATCATTGGTTGAGTTGGCGACTCGGGAGATTTTGGACGGCAAGCATTGAAGGAGTGATGCAAAAAGACGGTCATTTGCCGTGAAGGAGTGGCCATTTAAGTATGAAGATAATCAATTTCTGAGATTCATTTGCCGATTGATGCCTAAAAGACGGTCTTTTCTTGTGTTAGCTGGGGATATCCTCGTAGAAGGAAAATGTGCCAAGACATAACTTAGACACGACACAACCTCAACACAACCCATTGACAACCCACCCGAGTTATACTTGTATATAAAACTGTTGTCTCTAGCGAGGTTTGGAAAAGATATAGAAGAAACAGTCTTACCTCCATCATGGAGAGTTTTTCCTGGACTCAGACCCACGACGAATTAATTACAAGTATTTCTCTTTATTTACTGAACAATAGCATTGAGATGTATACATTCCAAATTGTCTGAATCAAATCTCTAGGGTCCTAACTGCACACTGTTCTCACAATTCTGCCACCCACAACCATAACTTATTCTGCACACTGTTCTCATACTCTTCTCTAAAATCAGCTTCTTGGCACTGGACTTTATTTGGGTCCTCATCATATTTGCTTTCCATGAACATGAAACTGTACATTGACAAATGCTGGATTGGGAGCAAATCCACTTCACACTCTTGATGATTTCAAACCATCTTCTCTTTTTTGAGGAGAATTCTTAAGGATCAGCAAGGCTTAATACCTTGTAATTATATTAATTCAATATGTAGAAAATGGCATGGTGGAGAGCTTTGTCTTCCATGTTGTTCTTCCTCTAACAATCTCTTCATTTCTAGTGTACCCTTTTGTTTGGAGAAGATGTGTATAGCTGAATGGCCCCTGATATAAGGACCCTATGGGTCTATTGCACTCGAGAATGTTATTATCTTGTTGATCAACTCCATCTTTGTATGGTTCACAAAGGGATTGGACTCTATCTGAACTTCCACATTCTCTTCTGTATTCGAGTACAATACCGGAAAGTTGATGATTCTCCAGAAATTGGTCAGGGATGGTCTGAAGATTGTAATAGTTCAAAATTTAGGTTCCATGGTGATTTAAATCGAGTTTGATTCGAGAATTATTGTAAGATATGTACCTCAATCATCCATCGTACGTACTTGACATTGTTTACATGATGATTCATGTCCAAATCACTCCTTTTGGGCTGCAAACAACAAATAATATAAATCAGTAGATGCCCCTCCCTCTGTAGAGTGGGTCAAAAAAACAGCCAATACCAATGCAATTTTGCCAAGGTCTATTTGCTATTTGGCTCATCACCTCCCACTGGGACATACACGTGTTTGATGTATATAACGAGTCTTACTCAACTCATCATTGACTCATAGTGGTCTCAGATGATTCGACCTAATCATTCAAGTCATCATTCGTCTCAAGGCCGTTTGACAGACGGTCCATGTGACCACTGGCCTGAGTTATATGAGGCATCGTTCTGCAATATCATAAGACATCACTTACTCAACTTGTAGTTGACTCAATGACGTCTTAAACAGCTGGCCAATTTATCTAAGTCATCGTTTTGTGACACTGCAATACCATTGGGTGATTCTGTGACATGACATAAATCTCTAGTCATGCTAAAAAAAAAAATTCGATCTAATATTTTGTGCATATCACCCGACTTTGTTCCATGATGCTATGCTGAGACCTATATGTCTTAGTGTCTCCTAAGTTAAGATGCTACGACCTTCAACCTTGTTCTATAGCATGAGATAAGAAGTTTAATGGATACACGGCTTACCTTTAAGTCTGAGTTCACATATTTAGCACTATCATCCAATTTCTCAATTTTTTCGAGGGTTTCTTCTTTGATTGCTTGCTTCTCAATGAACCATGGTGAAATCTCAGCCCTCACCTCATCTGGCATTTTTGAAAGGCGTCTGGTTTTCTGGTTCATCATCACCCATGTACTGTTTACGCATTTGGATCCTTAGTACAATCACAGATGGTGAAAATATATGACGCGAAAAACAAGATTTCGATTTGGAGATATACCTGGTTGCACGGGCAAATACGTAGCCTGTGGCATGGCTTCGGAGTAGCCAATCTCGCCTCATTCCATTCTTCCCTGATGCTCCAACCCATGTGTCGATTTCCATTATCTCTCCCCTGTGAAAGTGATCCTACTCTGTTATGGTTAAGAAACATATAGACACTAGGATCTTACTGATATGTGTCGAAATGATTTAGCAATACTTGTCTCCCAAGCCTGATTGACTTGGCAGATCATCTTCATCACATATGCTTTGAAGCCATGTTCTATGTGTTGGGATGAATAGTTATCAATTCTAAATAGACAAGAGAGAGAGAGAGAGAGAGAGAAGCTTGTTTGTCATAGTGCAGCCATGCGGCTGCTAGTAAATTTGAATATGTAGTGATCGTTTTCTCGATTAAATTTGTGTAATCTGGAGAACTCAAACTCACAACGTGTGAGTTTTTGTTTCGTCTCTTATTCAAGCATAAAGCCCACCTTTGCAGACTACCTAAAGAATAGAATGTTGAAGTACAAGAATACTAATATGATCAAACAACGTTTGAACATTGATCTTTTAAGGGGATTTGTATATGCCTGTATCAGTTTATAGGTAAGACTATCTTTTGAAACGTAACTTGTTCTCATATAGTGACATTAATAAGTGGTAAGCAGTCTTCCCCTCAGTTTACACTCGACTCGGCGATGAAACGACTTACCAGATGGGATAATGATCCACCTGGAGCTGCATTCTGGAGACAACCCATATGAGATTGTTTCTCATCATTCCATGAGTGGCACCAAATCCATCTCCAAGAAGACCAGACATCCACACATGATTCAATGCTGTTTCCTGCAATGTTAAATTACAAAAATGGCTTCATTATTTTTTGTGTCGATTTATAATGTTCCAAACTAAAATTGACAGTGAAGAATTTTCACCTGAAGAAGGTTAAGTATGCTCTCAATTGTTGCAGTTTTATCAGGACCAACTTCATAGGACCGAACAACCAGTGTCTGTCTGTACCCAACACCCTCTTCAACAATCAGTCCCTGACGAAACGGGTCGATGAGCTGCTTCTTTGTCGGAATATTCTGCCTCACCTTCTCTTTGGTGACGTATCCATTTTCAGAAACATGATTAACTGAGTTGACCGGAGTCTCGTGTACTAGGCTGTCTTTATGAACAAATGAAGTGGTGACAACTCTATTTCTGTTGTTCAGGAGGTCCACCTTAGCTGTGGGCACAGTACTTGCCACCCCATTAAAGTTGAGGGTTTTCAGTTTTTGCTTATTTGGGTCATGGCCATCTGCGGTGGAAGAGCACCTGATGGTGTAGCAAGCAAGGTAGGAGAGAGAAAACATATTTTTATTGTGTTGGGGTTAGAAAAAGTTTGGAAAGGAGACATGGGTATTGAAGTTTTTTTATAGATTGTTATTGGACGGAGCTGTCTAAGGTTTATTTGTTGTTAAGAGGAACAAAAGAGGGAATTTTGCCATTAAAAGTTGGGCATATCAGAGGGGGATTTGTTTCTCCTGAGAAGAGCCGTAAACTTGAGTTGTGGGTCTTTGCTGTAATCGATGGTTGAGGATGACAAAAACAGAATTTTTTTTGGTAATCGAGAAACGTTTTAATTACTCGAGTATTTAATTATAGATCTATATAAATGTGAATGAATGCAATCACACACATTTGTTTAAACTTAGTGAGACTCTAATTTTAGAACTTGCGGATTTATTTTATTGGATTTTTTTAGGTGTTGGTACATTTTTTAAAATTTATTTGACAAGAAGTGTATGAATAAATTGTTTACACTATTAAGTTCGATTTTAATAAAATATCTTGTGATTAAATACAAAATTCAAATAACTTTTTATTTATTTTACTTAGACTTCCTTAAATTATGCATAATTTTTATTCTTTCATTCTCTCTCCCCGCATTTCTAACACTGTTACTCTTTGTCCATTACTCTCTCACTCTTTCTTATTTTCTCTCTGTTACTCTCTTTATCTCTTTCCTTTTTTTTTTCTCTTTTTCTCATTGATAATTTATTTTCTTTTCAAATATATAAAGATTTGATTTGATTTGATTTTTTCATCTCTTTTGCCCATATTTTTTTTTCTCTCTCTCCCCTTTTCTTCTCTCACTATTACTCTCTCGTCTTACTCTTTCTATATATCAACGTTACAACAACACAATTACATCAATCAATTTTAATTGTCCTATAATGCATCAAACAATTACTTATGTGTTCTAATAAACCAATCAGTTATACCAAGCAATTACACAAAATTATGACACCAATCCAATTTTTCATTTAATTGTTCACATAAAACAAAGAGTTATACTAAATTTGGTGTATATAATTAGTGTAATCATGTCGTGATATTAAATTGTGTAATTCTTTTGTTTATGTAAAAAATTGAATAACAAATTGTGTAGGTGTTATAATTTCGTATAATTATTTGGTATAACTGTTTAGTTTATTATAATACATGAGTAATTATTTTGTGTATTATATGACAATTATAACTATTTAGTGTAATTATGTTGTTATAACGTTGATATAAGAAGAGAGAAAAAATAGGGAATAAATAGAGAGTGACGGAGAGAGAAAAAGTGAGAGAGTAATAGAGTAGTGAATGACATTTCTGTCTTTTTCCAAAAAAAATGCATTTAGGCCAAAGAAGTTTCCTTAATATAGTTTAGCTCAATTAAGTTCAAATTTTTGTACCGACTTTCCAAATTTTTCTATTTTTTTGGTTCAATGGTCAGGAGTGTCTGAGCTAGTTTACTCACAACTTGATTAATCTTCTCCCCGGTCCGATAAAAGGCAGGTTATCCACGCCGAGACTATGAGTATTCAAAATTTGGCTTTAAGGAGATACCAAGATTCGAATTCTGGACGTTTGGATTTACAACTCATTCCTGTTATCACTTGAGCTATCTTTGGGGTTGGACTTGCGGGCTTATGTCTTATTCCTTATTTGATTACTGAACCATTTAGTATTTTTACTTTTTACCTACCGATCGTTTCTTATTTGATTGCTAAATTTACCAATGTGATTTTTTTTAAAGCATTTTTGGGTGTGGGAAACACAAGGAGTCCAAATGTTTGTGATTCTTAAATTTGATGACATCAAAGTGTCATTTTCCTCCTAGAATCTTGACTTGGATTTTTCGAACTGGCCAAGCATCTATTCTGTTGTAATGTATGATTAACCAAACAGCTCATGGTATGTATAGAGACTCCCTCTCTTTGGTTCTATGTTGTTTTTCACACTTGCAAAATGCCAAATTATTTTGGAAATTGCAAAATTGTTAGAAAATAAACAGTTTTTGGATATTCCATTGTTTAAATTCAACATGGTGTATTTGAAAACATGCAAGCTTCCAAGAAACTATTTCTTTTATATGATGGGATCGAATACCTTCAAGACTAAATAGTAAAACTAAAAACATGTGAGGACATTTGATATTAATCATCGATCGTGTATTAGTGAGAAATTCGCGTAAATCAATAACTAATCGAGTACTTGCACTCTCCAATATTTCATTGCTTATGAAACATAAACATGATTTAAACCTTTCAATAACTTTGTGTCAATTGAGTAATGCTCCGTTTAGTATGATAGAAAAATAGAGAGATAAAAAGTTGGAACGTTGGAGGGATAAATAAAATATCATGTTTGGTAATAAAGAAAAATAGGAAGGGTGGAAAAGTAGATAGAAAATAACTAATAAAAATTAGTTATTTTTATTTTTCATCCATCTAACCAAACACAAAAGAATAAAATTGTATCATTCTTATTTTTTATCATTGAAAGATAGAAAGTGTATCCCTCCTACTTTCTATATTTCTTATATTTTATCTTTCCTATCAAACGAAGCACAAGTGATAGCTCACACAAAAGCTGTTGAAAGTGAAGTCTATTAACTTGCTTTAGAATCCTTTTTAGCCAAGAGCTTCGCCGGATGCCGAGCATCTGGTGCAAAGCACATTTTCGAAAAAGTCCAATTCAGGCAAACAGAGGACAGAGAGAATAGAACTCTATTAGTATACTACCAAAACTACTGTAAACTGCAAGGAGTAGAAAATTCATAATAATTACAAAAAAATTAAGGATGAGTCCATGTTTGAGTATCCTTAACAAGGTCAAACATTGTAACTGTTCTGTCTGTGTGACTGTGTGAGTTAATCACAAGGGAATGTTTTGTTTTACTGTGACATTGAAAAATGACCACGGTGACTTGGTCCTTCAAGAAAAAGTCTAAAAAATGAGGATAAATTATGTTGACACACCCTTTATTTTGATCAAATCCCCGAAAAAACTTTGCTCTTTTTTTTTTTTTTTTGGGAAATGACAAGGACACACCTCAAGTCACGAGTGGTCTAACATAGACACCCTTTTGTAGCTGGTATAGTTAAAGATTAAGTTATAAACAATGATCAAAATTTTGCTTTTGACACGGTTAAAACGGCCGAAACATTTCTATTTTTAATGAGATTGAAAAAAATCAATGATAGAATTAAAATTCTAATGTTTTCTTCGTGTTTCCAATAATATTTTGGAATGTTTCAAAGTGTTGCTAGATGGTTATGTATATTTTGACCAATGTTAAGGGATATTTTGAAAATAAATTCTCAAATATTTTATTCGTTTTTATTTTGTTTCCGAAACGTTTATGTTTCTTGGGTGGTGGAACTAGGCCTGTCAATTGTGTCAGGTGTTATCGGGTTTGTGTCAAAAAGTACTTCACTTATACCTAATTCGTTTATTAATTCGTGTCTATCAAATCATGTCATATCGGATTCATATCGTGTATGAATCGTATATAACTGATATATACACGAGTCATATTGTGTATTTCTTTTTATTGTTTTACCAATATCTGATTTGTTAATCATGTTGTGCCGAATTCACTCGTTTACGAAACGGGTGGCTTAAATAAGACTCAAACTCTTTAATTTAATATCACGTTAATAGATCAAGTCGTGTCGTATTTTGATATCTCCAATTAAAATAATACACCAAAATAAAATTTTGATCATTGGTTCTAATTTTTGTATTTACTACTATTTTTTGTTTTGATTTTTTAAGTTTTTTTGTCAAATAAGGTCAAAATTATAATTTTATAAAACTCAAGGAAGACCAGTGTAATTTGTCGAGAAGAAGTTTAAAAAAGAGGAGAGGAATTCGAAATTGAGGATGCTTTGTTCAACTCAGACAAACATGTGAATTAGTGTTGTCCTTAGTAATATCAATAAAGAGATTCAGATTTATTGGCAAACATAATGAAGACAAATATTCCTAACTTTTTAGTCTAAACTATTTATTATGCATATTTAATAATTATATCAATTTTATAATTGTTTGTGTCGAATTTGTATCAACGGGTCAGAGTTAACACCCCTACCCGATACGATGCATATCAAAAAATAAATAATCAATTTCGTAAATGATAAATGACTTGAGTTTATGTTGAATAGGAATAATTCAAATTTTCACACGAGAAAACCCATCTAACTTATTGATTTTTTTTTATTATTTCTTTATCTTTAATTGTGTGAATTATTGTGAAAATAAATTATTGGGTTAATTACAATTTATCTCCTTTAACTATGCAATTTAACCCCGTCCAAGTTTTAAGTGAATTAAATTAACTAACAATGGTGACTAAAATATGAAAAAACCATTCCACCCTCCATCTTGTAGATTATTTCCGTTTTTCTTTTTTAGATATCAATTTTGTCCCTAACAAAAAATAAGAAAACAAAAAATTCAGAACAGAAATTCTATCTGTTCAACCCAACCGCAATTCACTATTTATTAAAATAAGAAAACAAAAAATTCAGAACAAAAATTCTATCTTCTGCCAATTTTTATGATTTAAAATTAATTGTTAGAGTTAATTGCAAAAAATTGAAAATTAAAAAAGACTATTTATTAAAATCAAAACCTAAAGGAGTGATGAAAAATTACCCAAAGTTGAAGGGAGTATTTTGTAATTATCCCTAAATAATTTTGATTTGTTATTATGAAGATGTGGATCTTGGGTTCTTCATTTATGAAACGTGTATTGGGTTTGGTTGAGAGAAAAAAAAAAATCCTAATCTTACATTATTTGGTTCAAAGATTGCACAAAAATAACAAAAATATGGCACAAACCCAAAATGACAAAATTGATACAATCCAAAATGACATGACTCGATCATAATACAACAAAACTCAATTGGCATCAATGATTTCCAAACACGCGAGTAAGCGCGCGTGTACAAAACTAACATTCACCATGCATTCAAAATGAATATTGTTGAAACAATTTTCCATCATAAAACGAATATTAACAACTATTTCTCAACTAGCTTAAAAAGTATATGCAATGCCAATTCACAATGGATTGTCTCAGAATCCATTGCCTGGGTGTTCTGGTACAGAGTTGCCCTTGCAATTCCTTTTCTGACACAAATCTAGGTTTCAAAACATGGGATGGAATATTATTATTTTCTAGTCCACTTCATTCCATTTGTGTGTGTGTGATCGAGCGCACGCATGGGTGCAGGGAATGCTTCAACTATGGGGTATCATACCTTCGATAATCCTATAAGAAGTCATGATTTTGCACCAAGTTACAGCAAACAATGGCCGTGCTACAATGCACGAAATCCATCTTTGCAAAACCTCCCTCGAATTATACAAGTGGCATACGTAGGTCATATTGTGTGTCTGATTGGCGATCTTGGAACGCCAGAAAGTATAAAAACTAATAAGAGGACCAAACCAGAGTATACAATTAGGATTGGACCGGGAGCCAACTCCTTTGTTATTATAGCAGACTTCTCGTAAGCACTGAGAATTGGTCACTAGCTAGGCAAATGAGCTGCACCATTGCATTTCCAGTTCACATAAGAGAACACAAATAAATTAACAGAGATAAAGATCTCTACGCATGAAGACTTACAATGACACAAGTTCGTAGCTCATACAGGCTCAAGCACATGTAGTGGTTGGATAGCCGTGAGACATGTCTTCCCTCCTCCTATATAGTCACACATACTCCCTCATGTAACGACTGCATGCTGCATGCCAATGTATACAGCTACTTCCTTTTCTCTGCAGCATGTTGACAACAAATAACACAAGTACCTTTACTCAAAATGCTGTAGAGTATTGAACTAAAGTAATTATGAGAATTTTTTTTTTTTTTTTTTTGGGGGGGGGGGGGGGCTGGGAGAGGATGAAGTCTCTACAAAGATTTAAATTCCCAAGAACTAATCCTCCACCAACATGTTGCTCCGCCTATAATCCTCTGTGCATCTATAAAGTGGTAGTAGCATCGCCAAATACCTTTCATCTGGCAGAGATCAGGGGCATCCCTGGTCTAAATTCAACAGAGTAATCGTGCCCTGCCTTCTAATCCCACAAAGAGAATTAATGAACAGAAGGTCCACCTGCAACTGTGCATCTGCAAAAGTTAGAGGAAAAGGCTGTAAAAATATGCTTTGAGATACATTAAAACAAGAACCATATCATATGTTTATGGACCATGCCATGCATGAAAAGCACAGAAAACAAATGGAAGATAGGGATAATGGTAATGGAACACCATATCTCTGCAGCACATTTTTCGTTACAGAAATGTAGTTCTACAAATCTGTCTTTTGGCATCTAGCCATTCATGCAAATAGCATAGAATACTACATTGGAGCAACCTGATGATAATTGCATTTCCTCGATATGAATATGGGCGTGGTGGGAAGGGGGGAAGAAAAGAAAGCATGTGAAGATCTTCTCTTTTTTTTTTTTTCCTTTTGTATAACTACTGTTTACATCTAAATGCTCTGATCCTTCATCCTAGGTGGGACTGCACTGTATTTACGAATTTGCCATCAATTCACAAATTCCTCCACATGAACTCCTAATTGAACTAATCACAAGCTGCCATGTCTTTGTCCAGCAGGACCTGTTGCACTGGATCCAAACAATCAATGGAACAGGCTATATGGTATAAAACCCTCTAAAAATTGAGAGTAACTCAGACGTAACCCTGGAGGTTGCAACTAAAAAGCTATTTTTGAGCTATGCCTTCACGTTTCCAGCAAGGGTAATTTGTACTATTTTACAGCTAATAACAATACAGTAGAAAATAATCAATAAAGGTTAAATATATACTAGAATGTACTGTTACACACTGTTCTAGGTGATCTCATAATTGGGCATGTTGGGAATAGACACTCCATTGCTCTTGCCCCCTCTCCCCACATAACGCTGCTATTTCACTCCCACCATACCAAGCCCTACCCAATTCCCCTCTATCCCTTATCCTTCAGCCTTTAAAATGGCCCTGCAACTCTAAGATGCATCCTCTCCAGAATTTCCATGGTTATATTCTCAGAATTCCCCCAACATGCCAGTTTCTAGTAAGCCAATTCCAACTTTCTCATCCACAGAGCAGAGTTTTCCGTAACCATAGCCCATCAGAAAATCAGCCATCACCAGCATTTCCAAGTTTCTTCAAGCTGTCCTCATTGAAGAAGATTGTCAGCTGTGCCCAATATATTCCTTGAACGACGTTCCCAAATTTTCTAAGGCCAAAACCTTCCTGCGTTCATCTCCAACATATGCATCCCAGGAAGTCATTGCGATGATTGCACTTCAATTCCATTAAGATATTTGTCTTCCCGTAAGTCGAATAAGATGTATATCAAGAATAAAAAAGTTAAATCATTGTGATCAGCCAGGATAGCACTTCTGAGTAGGAAACATCTGTCAAACTCCAACCCCCTAACATCAAGCATCGGTCAATGGAAAGCTTGAGAAAGCAGAAATAGGGGATTAGCCAAAGACCACCAAGCAGAAGAAAGAAGGGCAGCAGTTTGAGAATACTGCCTAGCCCTTTACATGACTGCACCCACCATCACTTTCTGTTAATTGACCAAGCATAGTATCAATATGATGGGACTTCAACACAAAGACCTAGCAATTGTAAGTCCTACTGCTTTTCTCCCTCAAGCATCAGTAAATCATGTTCAAGAGGTCTAGTGAGATTGTGTCAGAAAACAGCAACAATGATACCACTCTAAAAGTTCACTAAACTCAACTCAAGTCAACAAAACAAAACCTTGTCCCAACTATTTGGATTCAACAAAGCCTTGTCCCAACCATTTGGATTCAACAAAGCCTTGTCTCAACTATTTGGATTTGGCTACATGAATCTTGTTCCTCCATTGTGCTTGATAAACAGTCTTAATTTCTACTTAACCATGAGCTGCCATATCATTCTTTACTTTATCATTCAAGGTTAATCCCAGTCAACCTCTATCATTCCTATTATCATGGATAGGTTTCACTTCACTCTTTCTCACTAAAAGTAAAGAATGCTTAAAATCTAAAAAAAACCATAAAATACAGAACAAAAGGTACTGCTGCAAAATAAGCCGAAAATAACAAAAAACACATGATTAGAACAATGCTACAGGAAACAATAAAAGACAGTTAAAATTGTAAGTGAGGATAAAAAGTAGGTTACCAGAAAATATAATTCCTGAACCAGTAAACTAATCAATATAAGAGAAACAAATAGACCATACATTAACAAGAATCTCATGAGCAAGAAATGCATGACCAAGCAAGCAAAGTAGAAAACCTCATAATTACCGCTGACTTTCAAACCATCCAACCTTTTGCCTTCCGTAGGATACTTGAAATCACAGCCTTGAAGTTCTCACGTGATATGAAACCAGATTCCAAATCCGCATAGCAAACAATAGAAACCTGGTGTGGATTATTTTCAAACTTTCAATAGTAAGTTTTAGCATAAATAATAGCAGTACACAATAGGACTCTCTAAGCTTCCAGCTACCAAAGGAGAAACTTACAGTAAATTCAACTATGGTTGAAGGTGGAATCAGAAGCTTATAATGCATCAATTTTTTCTTCCATCTGCTGTATGTTCTGAAAATTTGTCATGAACTTCTTAAATGCACGTAATAAGACATCCACAACTCAAGACAAGTGTATAACAACGAGCATCATCTTGCAGAAGTTCATAATTTTTTTGAAAGAATAAAAGAGGAAGAAGAAGAACAAAAACAACGACAACGACAATGATAGAAGGGAAAAAAAAAAGGTGAAAAATGAAAATCCCCTGTGCCACAAAAAATATCATCCATACCAAATGCTTTGGACATGCAATATGTTGTACCCATAAGCGTGTTTTGCACAGGGAGTTAGTTCGACATTTTACATGCTTAGTCTCATTTAATTCCACTCACAACATGTTGAGTTAAGTGGAAGACCCATTAAGCCAATCTTTTATAAAACTATATAAATGGATCAGATGTGTCATATAGCTAAGACAGAAAAGATATATATGTAAAGTGAAAGTAATTTATTTTTCTCATGGGAAACAAGGAAACATTATTAATGATAAAACTGAAGAGTACCTGAGGACAAGAAGCCCATTAAATACAACAAAATAAACTTAAAATTGAAAATAACATGCTGACACATGTCAACAATGTTTCATTGCCTTAAAGGCATGCTCTCAAAATGCCTATGCTTCCTCAAAAGCTCCCATCTATAAGAGTTGGAAGGAATTGTTCTTCCCTTCATACGACCAACCAATGACTATGAAACAAAGATATTTTGGAATGACAAGAATCAACATTTGGGAGTAGATAAAGATGAGACCCTATGGTCAGGATATGAAATCAAGACGTGAATTCAAGACGAAGTTTTGCAGCATGGCTACAGAATGCCTCAGAAATATTCATAATCAGATAAATAGATATATAGACCCTTATAGACATCCACCCATGTAGCAGGATATGAGAGAGGTAAGTGCAATAATACGTGCAATGTCTAAAAAATAAAATCAATCAAAATGGCATCAACCATTAATAAAAGCAACGGAAACCCAAAATATAAGTAAATCTCACAGTATAACCACACAAACCTTGCATCTGCATAAAATTCATTTCAATTATATAGTCATGGTGGTGTCTATCAGAGGAATCTAAAGCTTTTGCAAAAAGTAGAGAAAGGCATCAGCTGAGACTATAAAGAAGATTTGGGAAACCAACCTAGAATGAGCAATTTTCACTCTTGTGCAAAGCCCATTTAGTTTAATCTGAAAAAATCATAAGATTGCTTGTTACAAAAGATACAAATAATCAGTTAAAAAAATCATGGATCTCCAAACAATACTGAATTTGTACATTTTACATCAGAAATCTAATCACGTTTTTTATTTAGAAGCCATACCAGTGAGATCCTATCAGCTATTGTCTCAAACAATCTTTTTGAAAACAATTTTCAACGCCTAAAAACACAATACCAAATAGATTGAATCATAAGGGCATCAGCTTGAACATGATAACAAATAAAACGGATTAATTTGCGACATCGAACAAAAATTAGAAGAAAAATGGGCATACCACAACTTTTATGCAGCCACAAGGTTCAAGAAGCAGGACTGGTTTGTGACAAGCCTCCATGACTGAACCAGATATTGTAAAAGTCTACTTGCTGAAAATCATCTATCTAGAATTATATAGTCGAGGTACTCGACAGCATGAGATTTATAACCCTTGCCAAGTTGCTTTAACAGTGCACCATGTGTACAAGAATCAGGCTGGATTCCTCTATCTAGCATTTCTTTATACAATCTCAAAACCTCATGCCAATTACCCATATCACAGTTCTCATTTATCAATATAGTGTAGGTATATTTATTAGGGAGTACTCCTTCTGCTTCCATCTCAGCAAAATATTTGTAAGCCTGATCCATTCTTTTCAATTTGCAAAGACCATTTACCAGCGCATTGTAGGTGATCACATTGGGTAGAACACCCTTTTCCTGCATCTCCGAGAAATACATAAATGCCAGTTCTAGCCTCCCCTTACCAGCATGAGCATGAATCAATACTGTGTATGTCACAACTGTAGGGGATAAACCTTTGCTTAGCATCTCATAGAACAACTCTCTGGCTTTCCGGAGATGCCCAATTTCTAAATGAGCATGAATAATGCTAGTATACGTTCCATGATCGGGCACAAGGCCATCACGGATCATCCTCTGCAACAACTCACAGGCTTCTTCCAAATTACCCAACTTACAAAGTCCATCCACAAAAACATTATAGGTGATTAAATCAGGTGGGAATCCCTTTGTTAGCATTTCTTCTTGCAAACTGCATGCCTTGGATACATCTCCAAGCTTCAGTTCACCCACTATACGAGCTGTGTATGCACAGCGATCAGGCACTAACCCTTCATGCAACATCTCGTCAAAGAATTCCTTAGCCATGGATAAATTTCCTGCCTTGCAAGAACCATTTACTAGAATGGTATAAGTAAAAACATCAGGACGAACCCCATAATTAACCATTTCATCCTTAAGCTGGCTAGCATTCTCCAAATCCCCCTGCCTGCTAAGCCCATCCATAATGGTATTATAGGTGACCACAGTGGGAATGAGGTTCCTGCCCCTTAACTCATCCAACAAGAGGAAAGCCTGTGTTGTGTTACCCAATCGACAATACCCATAAATCAAAGTGTTGTATGAAACTATATCCGGCCGCACATTCTTTGCAAACATGTCAAGAAAGTATTGCCTAGCCTCAGTCACTCTTCCCTGCTTGCAAAGTCCATACATGAACGAATTGTATGTTGATACAGTTGGAGAAGCTCCTCTCACTACCATCTCTGCACCTAGGCTCAATGCCTCTACAAGCAAGCCCTTCTTACAATACCCAGAGATCAATGGGTTATACGTGTACGATGAAACCTTCAATCCCTTATTTAACATTTCCCTAATCAACCCTTTGGCCTGGTCAAATTCCCCTTTCTTGGACAACCCATTAATCAGCACATTATATGTAACATCATTCGGATAGCACCCTCTCCTCTGCATTTCCGATAACAGGTCCAGCGCTTGTTGTACTTCACCTACTTTACAAAACGAATCCAACAATGTATTATACGTAACAATAGTTGGCTTAACCCCACACTCTCTCATCATTCTATACACTTCCCTTGCCTTGCCAACTAAATCTCTATCCCTAAGTATCCTAAGAAATCTATTACAATTCTTCACATCCGGCAACACCCCATTTCTGATCATCTTATCAAATGTCAACCAACATTGCTCGACCATTGATTTTTTCGTATACACCCACAACAAAAGATCAAGTAAGTTACTCAAAACCTTGGAATTTGTATACCTATCTATCAAAATATCCAAAATACCATGCAAATTCTCACTAATTACCCTCTCCATGACGCAATATGCAGAACTCGTCAAATTATTCTCAACTAGAATTTCAAGAATAGTACAAAAAGCATATTCTGAATGCTTAAAGCCTGGTTGTCCCTCCGCCCAACGGAAGAACCGGAGGGCAATTTTTGGGTGCTCACGAATAGAATCAAGCACTCGGGCAAACAATTCTGAATCAAGAATCACTGTATAAAATTGGTCTGGGACATCCCAGTAAGGTCTTTTAAAAGCCCAAGGCTTTTGTTCAATTGTTTTCAGGATTAGATTCAGGAAATGGGTTTCCGAATATGTAGTTATATATGAACTTCTTGTGCTGTTATTGCATGCTGCGTTGGTCATGCCAACAATTGGGCTGTTGTTCTCAGATGGACATAGAGAGTGATAATGGAAAGAAGATAGAACGATAAAGCGTACCTTGAGACGAAGAGAGTACAAGTTTATTGATTTTGAAGCTCTAACATAAAGGGTCATTGGATTTGTATTAGTGGTGTGGTGGTGATATACGATGAGAAAGCAATGCATGTGAGAAGAGTGGGAAAGGTTTGAGGAACTGATGAGAGAGAAAATAATGGGTTTTGGGTATTGATAGAGAGCTATGAAGAAGAATGGACGGCGTACCAAGCAAACCATTGAGGTATCGCCATAGATCATTCAGTTCTGGAACGAACCAGCGAGCGGCGAGAGAAACTGTAGCGTGTACACGAGAAGAGCTCAGCCCGAACCCGAATTCCAGACTGGAGCTTGGATCGCAACACTTAGGCCCAGCCAGGCTCTGGGAACAACTCAGGAGCTCCATTGTAAAATTCAAACCTAACCATTAATCGAGAAGCGATTGCAACAACGAAAATCAATGCTACATTAATCGATTGGAATGGGATGGCAGGACGAACCAGGACCTAGACCCAATAAAATTCAACACGATCTGATTACTCTATTCGAATCAATGCTACATAAATCGATTAAATGTAATTTTAATAAATTCAAGTTGAGTGATAAACAGGTAAACGAGTCAAACTTGTATAACTAAATACATTAACTTATGACTCAATTACCCATTTAATAGATTACCCACTATATTGAGGAATTAGGGCTTTCAATTAGATTTTTTTTTTGTCGTAAAATTGGTTGTAATTTTTTTTCAGAAATAGTTAAAAAGAATTTTTTCGCGTGTAAAATATATTTAGTTGGATTAGTATTATATTTAATTGAATTCATACTAACTCCTTTAGTAAACAGGTCTGGCGAGATGAATTTATTAATTATAACTTGATCCTTCAAAGTTATAACTTAATCTTCAAATATGAATACCATAGACTTCCCTCAGTGCCTAAGATCTGTCATCTCTGATATTGGGTACTATGATTCAGCATTTCATGGCCTTTTGGGATCAACTACATGTAATAGCAATATAATTAAAAATTAATAAAAAATGAGATATTCCTCAATTTCCCATTTAGATTATAAACATATATGCAAGCAATCATTCCATGCCAAAACCAACATGGTGGACCAAAGCACCTGGCTCTCAAAATTGATTAAAACTAGTTACTATAGAGTGTCTGGGACATAAAACTATAATTTTCAGTTACAAAAGAAGAAATAAAGCACATAGGGTGAATGGAAGGAGCATACAACAGCAAACAACAAGTAACCCAAGTGCTCAGATCAAAGAAAAGTTCAAAAGAAAGGGAAGGGGGGCGGGGGGGGGGGGGGGGGGGGGGTTATGGCACGTAGACGAGCAGCGGAAACCAGTGGTTACAGATTTCTCTGATCTGCACATAAAAACTGGACATGTTCTACTTCGGGTGATAACACTAGCAGCTAAACGGCGCTGTCAACAACATCCTCTCACTGTTTCAGCCTTCGCGATCAACTAATTTTTGAAGGATTACCTACAAACAAGAGCAAAATAATCCCATCACGCACTTTTTCAAAGAAGTTGTAAAACAGCATTCTTGAGCAAGCTTAGTGTAGATAGATGGCACTAGAAAACCATATCTTGAACGTTCACTGGAAACTCTAATAAGCATAAATTTTCTTAATTAGCAGAACACATGCCTAATAAAGTTCAGGCGTACATTTGATGATTCATGAATTATATGATTAAATTTAAATTTAACAGCTCATGAAAAAAATACTTTTTATCCTTAAAAGTAACGTACTGGACAAGAACGATGTGATTTCAACCCTTGATTGAGTTCGTGACATGAGATCAGTAGCCTCACAGGACGAAATTCAATTGACTGACTGAGCCCTCTATTGTCCACAACAGAAATTAATTCACACTGTAGAAGGTGCTCAAACGCCTGCATGAAAGCAGATTGTCTAAATGTGCTTGAAGATGTAGAATTCAAAACTGTGTCAAGATTAACTAACTACTTGTGTGAAGTGAATACACACCCTTAAGCATACATTCCGTGCATAATAATCAGATGTCTGGAACGAGTCATGTATGCTTTTGTACTCTGCAATGTGTAATAAACAAGGTATGCTATGATAAAAAAACAAAAAAAATCAAATTATATGGGGTATGTCATGGAATATTGACATAGTAAAATCAAATCATGGATAACATTTGAGGCATACCTTTCATTACAGAATTGAAGTTGTATGTGTCTGGCTCTTTCACTTCCAACCTCTTCATGCAAACCAGAATATAGAGTTCTAAGATGGAGCAATCTGCTTGAACGAGTTGAATTAGCAATTAAAATAGTCAAATTACTCATAAAGAAAGCAAGGATTTTTTTTTTTTTTTGGTGAGCGGTTTTTTTTCCTTGGGGGTGGGGTTTGGAGGGGGCAGGAATTGTTTGTAGTCAATTCCAGTGCTAATAACTTGATACAATTCTAATGCTTTTTATTAAAAAAATCGTGTTCAATGAATTTCTTCCTGATGCCTTCCGATATAGGAAATCATCAATGAGAAGAAAATTTTAGTATTTCACCTTTAGGGTGATCGCTTAGGAAGTGTTAAACCATAAACTGAAAAGTTTAAATTGATTGATTTAAGATGATTGAGAGTGATGCAATAACATTAGCCCCTCATGGGTGGACCCTCTTTGGGTGGTCTGCCCACGTGATCGTATTGCATATTTTTTTTTTTTTTATCATATTGCATATTAAATCAGATGTAATTGGTGTGGCTTGAATTCAAGAATCAAGACCTTTAAGCTGATATCAGTTAATCACCAATTCTTTTAACTTCTTTAAGTTCATAGAGAGGCAAGGGGCATAAACATTTATTGATCAAATACTCAACCTTTTAAGCATTCCAGCTTTGGCTGCCTTTGGATGGTTGAAAGTGCAGCTTTGAAGTTGTCAAGTGACATGAAACCAGATTCCAAATCCATATAACAAACGGCAGAAAACCTAGCTTCAAGGACTATGAATAGTAAGTAATAGCAGAAAATACAGTACATATAATAGAACTGTAAACTTGCAGATACAAAGAGAAAAACTTACAGAAACCGCAGCATGTGGTTGAAGGTCAAATCAGAATTTGACAGTGTTTCAATAATTTCTTTGAATTTTTCACCTGCTAATATGTTCTGTCAATGTCAAGGACTTGCTTGTATTATTTTACAGAACATAGGAGATTCAGGTATAGTGCATGTGTTATGCTACTTTACCAATGCAAGACAAGTTGCCTTGTAAAAACTAGGTATAGTGCATTGAGAGACATTCATAAGATCAGGAGGGGCACACTTCTGTAGGGACAAACAAATGCAGGATAGTGGTTCAGACTTCTTAATGTAAGGCTAAAGCTCTAACACAATTAAGCAAAGTTTGAAAAAGGAAGGAAACAACGAATAGATTTATGCATTAGTCATGATAATGAGTGTTTCTGAAATGAAGCTCATGCATTCATCCAGTATTATGCTTAAATCAAACGTGAAACTCCTGTCTTTTCATCTAACGCTCACTATATTATTCTCTGGCAACATGTGAAATTACAAGTGTTGGTCATTCCATTAAGCTTAATGAAGTCTATGAGAGGATACAAGAAGCTTCGCATTGAAGTCAGCTACATAGTCATGAGGAAGGCTTGAATCTGTTGGCAATAGCAAAATATGCTCCAGCAGTCTGCACAGTACACCAAAGATTGAGACAAAAGTAAGACACAAGCTTTTGTAAATCTCAAATTTTCAATCCTGCACAATATACTGCAACAGCTCTGCTGTCTCAGACAGTAGAGAAGTTACCTCTGTAAATCTTCCCTTGAGGGAGGAAGAAAGAGCAGTTTTCTATGTGAAAAACGAGATCTTACTCTTTTTTCCAAGAGCTGATCAGCATCCTGCATGATACATAGCCTAATATTTCAGCATTCTTCACAAATCCGTAGAAAACATTTGGAAGTTCTTTAGTGTGGTCCATCCATATGTGTTGCATGCACCAACTATATATAAAACTGCCCAAACATATGCATGGATCTGCAAAATTCGCTTAGATTACCTTTAAAAAGTTATATGAAACTTTTAACTATAGCTAATCAATCAAGGGCTTCTGTTTCCCTTGATTAAATAAATATCAATTACAGGATCCTCTAGTCAATAGTATTGGAAAAAAATCCATATATGCATCAACCAGTTATAACAAAACAAAATGAAATTAGCAGTTGAAGAAAATTACCAATCGGCAACTCACGCCAACGACAACAGCTTGTGATGTTACAGATTGCATTGCATCTAGCAAGCTATAAAGTAATCGCTGTTTACCCTGCAAAGATCAGACAGAAGCAAATTAAACATTTTCAACACCAGAAAGCTAAATATTCTGTTGACCTTCATCTTCTTCAGAAAGGATTATTCAACATTCACTAGCATCTATGTCTTAATCCAAATATTTGTGCCCATGTATGCACACGCAACAAAAATCGGGAATGGAGGAAGTGAGAGTAGAAGGTAAAAAATAAGGAAAGGTGAGAAGACAAGCATCCAGACTTCAGTGCTGAGAGATTGGGAACGAGATGACAATCTTACCTGTGCAAAGAGGTCAAATTCATCCAGTACAAAAATAACTGTTTTATGTGCTAATCCACACTCTCTGAAAAGAGATCACAAATGATTAAATGCACAACAAAAGCAAATCGTCATGTATTGACATTGAAAACACCCAATAAAATCAATTGACCAAATCAACCAGTAGAATGGCACTTGCAAAATCAATAGCAATCAACACGAACATATACATATATTCACCTTAACATAGCTACCATGAACTGGGAATTATCATCAAATGATGCCTACAAAAAAGCATCTCAACATCAAGACTTCTGAATTGATCCAGGATCAAGATGAATCATCTGAAAAGATTGATTGGGCATGTTACCATTTTTGAGAACATCAATTGGTGCTCCACACATAATTGTCTAGCAATTTCCTGAGTGATCAATTGAGACCAAAAACAAAGATGAACATTCTCCCCAACTACATGAGAAGCAATAATACAACTTTCTATCTGAAAATAGAATATAGTAAGTGTCCACAATCATCAATGAATTCTCTTGTCGATTATAAGGGGAGCCAGGTTCAATGATTAAAATTTGACCCAACAACCATGAGCTTGTGGGTTTGGATATGATGGCAGCTACTTTGTGCAGATAATGTCCAAGATTAGGTTATACCAAATCCAGTACGCATAGCAACCCAATTAAT